AAAATCAGCCGGGCGTGGTAGCGCGCACCTGTAATTCTGGCTACTTGGAAGGCTGAGGCGGAAGGATTGCCGGAGCCCAGCAGATCGAGGCTGCGGTGGCTGGGAGCGGCCACTACACTCCAGTCTGGGCAACAGTGAGACTCCAACTCAAAAAAAAAAAAATCCCACAATACCTGGTCATTGCTATTATATAGTTAGTAATCATGTAGATTTATTCAAATATTTACCCTTTCCCTTTCTTTGTATTCTTTCCTGCGTCCCTAAGCTCCCATTTGGAATAATTTTTCTTCTACATGTGAAATTCTCTGTCTACCCTTGGGTGCAGATTTGCTGGTGATGAGTTCTCAGTTTTTGGTGGCTTGAACCTGTCCTTATTTAACTTTTTTTTTTTTTGAGTTGGAGTCTCACTCTGTCACCCAGACTGGAGTGCAGTGGCACATTTCCAGCTACTGCAGCCTCGCCCTGCTGGGCTCCGGCGATCCTTCTGTCTCAGCCTTCCAAGTAGCCAGAACTACAGGTGCACACTACCATACCCGGCTAATTTTTTTTTATTTATTGTTGAGTTGAGGTCTCGCCAAGTTGCCCAGGTAGGTCACGAACCCGTGGGCTTAGGCAGTCCACTCACCTCGGCCTCCCAAAGTGCTGGGATTACAGGCTGAGCCACTGAGCCTGGCCTTTTTTTTTTTTTTCCTTCTGAGTCGGGGTCTCACTCTGTTGCCCAGACTGGAGTGCATTGGCATGATCATGGCTCACCACAACCTCAATCTCCTGGGCTCAGGCAGTCTTCCCACCTCAGCCTCCTGAGTAGCTGGGACTACAGGCACACGCCACCATACCCAGCTAATATTTTTATTTTTGTGGAGAGGACATCTTGCTATGTTTCCCAAGCTGGTCTTGAACTCCTGGGCTCAAGCAATCCTCTTCCCTCCACCTCCCAAAGTGCTGGCATTATAGGTGTGGCTCATACTGTGAGTGTATACAGTGGCTCACACTATGCCTGGCTGTATTTTTTCATGAAATGTTTTATTTCATTTTAAAAACTTGAGTTGGGTGAGGTGGCTCACACCTATAATCCCAGCGATTTGGGAGGCTGTAGTGTGAGGGTCACTTGAGGCCAGGAGTTCAAGACTGGCCTGGGCAATATAGCAAGAGTCAAAGAAACTAGACACAAAAATAAAAATAAAAAAATTACTTGGGCCAGGCTCAGTGGCGCAGCCTGTAATCCCAGCACTTTGGGAGACCGAGGCGAGGTGTGTGCGCCTATAGTTCTGGCTACTTGGAAGGCTGAGGCGGAAGGATTGCCGGAGCCCAGCAGGTCGAGGCTGTGGTGGCTGGGAGCGTGCCACTGCCCTCCTGTCTGGGAGAGAGAGTGAGACTCCAACTCAAAAAAAAAAAAAAAATCTGGGCTTGGTGGTGCATGCCTGTAATTTCAGCCACTAGGGAGGCTGAGGTAGGAGGATTATTTGAGCCCAGGAGGTTGAGGCTGCAGTAAGCTATGATCACACCACTACATTCCAGCCTGGGTGACAAAGCAAGACACTGTCTTTAGGGGAAAAATAATTTTTCCTGTGGCAGTTTTAAAAAATCTTCATGACATATTTTGAACATTTCTTTATTTTTGTGACTTTAAAAAATGATTCTGTGCAAGAAAATTTGAACAGAAAAGCAGATCTCATCTTTGCACATTTCCTGATATGATCCCATCACAGGTTCTGTTTTACTTCCGCTTTTTAAGAAATTAAACATGTTTTCCCCATGGTCATGGCATTGCTGCTCCTAGTACTTTAGGAAACACTCTCCTTATTTATTTATTTGTTTATTTATTTATTTTAGAAAGCAGGATTTATTGAGAGGACAGAAAAGCTCCCACAGTGAGAGGAGACCGGAAGGGGTTGCCCTGCTCCTAGTACTTTAAATTGTCCTTGGCCCACGTGCCTCCGGGTTGTTGCTGGCTTACCATGGTCTGCAGGTGCTGTGAATGTGGCTCTGAGTGCACACCGCACTCTTCCGGACTGGCTGTCACCATTGGTGAAGGACACCAAGCACTGGGCTCTCCTGGGTGTCAGGCCATCTACGAGCGGGCTAGATAGAGAGCATCCCACTATAAATGAGGCCCCACAGGAGTAAGTTACTTCCGTCTGCCTTGACTGGGGTCTGGGCTCTGGAAGGCCAGGTGGTGAGCAGGGGCTCCAGGAGGCTGGTGGCAGAGTCATGCCTGGGTGGCACAAACAGAGGACGGAGTTTGCACACGGGGTGTTAGATGTGCACCTTGGTTCTTGGAAATTTGCTTGTTCTGGAATTAGAAGACTTGTGCTTTGTGGAGTTGTGCTGGAGATGCTTTAAAGGTAAAACATTCCCATGGGAAGCACACAGGTTTGCAAGTCAAAGCAGTGGTTTGTTTGGTTTTGTTCTCATACGTTCCACTTCCACCACATGTTCTGTGTACTTATGGGGACATCTGATAGGTCCTTTGGCCTTCTAATGAGGTGGTCTTGGTAGGTTCATCTGGGTGAAGTGAAATGCCTTTAAAAAGAAGCTGAAAAGCTGGGCTCAGTGGCTCAGCCTGTAATCCCGCGCCTTTGGGAGGCTGAGGTGAGTGGATTGCTTGAGCCTGCAGATTCGAGACCCGCCTGGGCAGCGAGACCTCATCTCTACAATAAATCAAAAAATCAGCCGGGCGTGGTAGCACGCCCCTGTAATTCCGGCTACTCAGAAGGCTGAGGTGGGAGGATCGCCGGAGCCCAGCAGGTCGAGGCTGCGGTGGCTGGGAGCGGCCACTGCACTCCAGTTGGGCGACAGAGTGAGACTCCAACTCAAAAAAAAATAAAAAAATAAAAAGAAGCTGAAAAAAGCTGGGTGTAGTGGCTCATGCCTGTCATCCTAGCACTTTGGGAAGTGGAGGCAAGATAATTACCTGAGTCAGGGGTTCCAACCCAGCCTGAGCAACATGATGGGACCTTGTCTCTACAATAAAACAAAAAATTAGCCAGGCATGGTGGCATGTACCTGTGGTTCCCACTTGGAAACCCAGGGCAGAAGGACTGCCTGAGCATAACAGGTCGAGGCTGTGGTACCCGTGAGTGTGTTACTGCACTCAAGCCTGCGCAACAGAGTGAGACTCCAACTCAAAAAAAAAAAAAAAGGGGTGGAATAACATCAAGTGACTCTTATAAAAACAAAGACTTTGTTTCTTCCTCTGAATTTTACTTTCCGGATAGAAACCTATCCATCTCAAACCCAATCAAGGGCACTAGATATATGCTTCTCGGGGCTCAGGGCTATCTAGGGAGTGGTGGCGGATGAACCCAGCCTGGGGTTTGTGATTCTGAATTACTTCAAGGGAACAAATCAGGTTGCTTTATGAACAGGATGTTGACCTTGACTAGCATAAGTGACTGGGTTTTTTTTTTTGTTGTTGTTGTTTTGAGTTGGAGTCTCACTCTGTCGCCCAGACTGGAGTGCAGTGGCCACTCCCAGTCACTACAGCCTCGACCTGCTGGGCTCCGGCGATCCTTCCGCCTCAGCCTTCCAAGTAGCCGGAATTACAGGCGTGTGCTACCATGCCTGGCTGATTTTTTTGATTTATTGTAGAGATGAGGTCTCACCACGTTGCCCATGCGGATCTTGAACCCGTGGGCTCAGGCAAACCTCAGCCTCCCAAGGCACGGGATTACAGGCTGAGCCAGCAAGCCTGGCTATGTCTGTTTTTTTTCTTTAAGTCAGAGTCTCACTCTGTCGCCCAGGCTGGAGTGCATTGGCAGCTCACAGCCTCCACCTGCTGGGCTCAAGTGATACTTCTGCCTCAGCCTTCTAAATAGCTGTAACTCCAGTCATGCGTCACCATGCCTGGCTAATTTTTTGATGTGTTGCAGAGATGAGGTTTCACCAAGTTGCCCAGGCTGGTCTTGAACCCCTGGGCTCTGGCAATCCTCTCACCTTGGCCTCCCAAAATGTTGGGATTATAAGTGTGAGCCACCGTGCCTGA